AAACGCGCGGCAGAGAAAGGTCAGGGAGCAGACGAGAGAAGGAATTGCCTGCGTGCACATGTGTGCATGTACTGTACTTTGAAAACGGGATCAACACGCCGCGCTAGCACCAAAACCCACAACCGCGAAGCGGACATGGGCGACGATACCACGGCGGCAACATCAAAATCAAGGAGCAGCAGCAACAGCAATGACACCACTTCCACCAACAATAACAACATCACCACCACCACCGGCACCGTCACCAACTTAACAGCATACAACACCACATCAACGCTACAACCAACACCACAGCCACCAGCAACAACACCTAACAACAGCAGCAACACCAACAAAATAGTAGCAAGCAGAAGCACCACCGCCACCGCCAACAACAACAACAACAACAACAGCTGTCCGACACACCTTCGCCGAGACAGTGGCCAGGTCCTTCTTCCAGAGCTCCACCAGCCTGCCCATCGCCGAGGGCAGGTAGGTTCTCGCCATGAAAGCCGCCTCGGGGACACGTCCGGCGCTAACCAGCAGCTCTAGGCACTCCTCCACCTGCCGCCCGAAAAAAATGTAGCGCGCGGTGGTAGTGTTCATCGTTGTTGCTGTTTCTGTTGTCGCATGGGTTCAATGATCCTACTGCTGTGTTGTGTTGTCATGTGTTGTGTTGTGTTTCCACATTTTTGCACACCTTCCCGCAGACACTACTAAGAAGGCGACCACTACTACCACTACTGCCTTGCATTTGTGTGTCTCACGCACCCTTCCACACACCAAGAGGGAAAGGAGAGAGCGAGTGATGCTATTGTACTGCGCTGCTGTGTCTTGTGTTTCGCGCAACGTTCCACCCTCCAAGAGGGACAGGACCACCGCGTATGCGTGGCTACTCCTGTGCCTGTGTGTCGTGTATTGTGTTTTCGCACGTACCTTCCCGCAGACGAAGAGGAACACAAGCACACTACATGTACACCGCTGCCTTGTACTGTGCCGTCTTGTGGTGGTGTCTTTCACTCAGCTTTCCAAGGACAAAGGTGTGCTGCGTTGTGCAATATTATGCATATTGTCGCACACCTTCCCTCACGCCAAGCTCGACAGGAACGCGACCGCCACTGCTGTGTCTTGTGTTTCGCGCAACGTTCCACCCTCCAAGAGGGGGACACGACCAGCGCGCATGCATGGCTACTCCTGTGTTTGTGTAATGCCGTCGTGTTGTATGCCATGGTATTATTGTGTTCTCGCGCGCACCTTCCCGCAGACGAAGAGCGACAGGAAGGCGACGTTCGTGCGGCCGGCCTTGCGGGCGTCCTCGGCCAGGGCCAGCATGCCCTCCCGGTTCCCCGTCGAGGAGTGCAGCAGCAGCAGCCCACCCAGGTCCTGAGCGTTGACCGCACACCTCTCCACCAGCGCCAAGTCGCACCTTCGGAGGGGGGGGGAGGGGGGTTACGGTGGATGGGGGGGGGGGA